GGGGAATATTTTGTCCTTTCTAAAATTATGCGCATGAACTCTTCGTCAGAGATGGCAGTGGGAAGAGGACATGACACATAAGGGTCGTTAGTCAATCAACGACCAATGCCGGTGGTCTGGAGGAGACTGTGCAGGGCTCTGTATGCGGGCGACAGATCGATATACAACTGATCCACTTCATAACTCAAACCCAGGCTTCAATCAATTTTCGGTCTCTCTTACTTTCCTACCGAGCAATTATCCCGGCGGCTACTAAGTTGAACTCGTAGCTTGTTTTGAAGGCATAAGCGGTCACTTTTGATAATTCCTCTTCCTGTCGTACAGTCAGCTCATGAACGTATATGAGCTTATTCTGAGATCGTAAGGACATTTTAGACACGGAGTACGACACAGTACACAAGACGGTTTCGCGGGGATTAATCGGTCTCTAACTTTCACGACGTTGCTGCGCATAGTAGCTCTGAGCTGGCACGCAATTCTAACACCCAGACCCGCAGAAATGCGCTCGGTCGCCTCCGAAACGTCCTTGCTATATGGCGAACCGTTTATATTTCCGGTGGTCTCTCTGCCTGAATTCTTCGCGGGCGGTCATGTAGGCAATGGCTTATAAACGCCTTTTGGGAGCACAGCCCGCATACATAGGTTGCGAGGGCATCGAGCCTCACGCACTTTCCCTTCCGGACTACTGTGGTGAACGTGAATCCGCCTGAAGAGCATTCTCGCATAACTTCCTTTACGAGCCATTCGAGGGTTGTCCTGAAAACTAGGGTGTGTGGTTTTTCTTGCCACCCTGTTAACCGCTGTGCAATGACAGAGTCCATTAAATTCCCCTCCATCTGCTCACAGGCTTATTTAACAAAGGTGAAATACGTTTTTTGGCAAAATCCGACTCAGATGTGATGGAGCTTACAACTCTCGGTGGGACATAGAGCTCAGGTGGCTAGAGCGGTGGCTGTTCTCAAGGCTGCCCTTTGCTGTCATGGGTTCGAATCCCAACGAGATCCCCTAGTTTTTCATGATGTGCTTAATTTTACGTAGGCTCTAACTTTCATTTTATGCCTCTTCTAGTTTCTTGCGCAGAATTTCGTGTGCTAGATTCAGTGGCACATATGTGAGTAATAACGTCGCGTAGAAGGAGACTACGATGTAACTCTCTTGAATCCCCGATCTCAGAGATTCAAAAGGACTCTAGAAGTTGAATTGCTGTGGAAAACTTGAGTTTTGAGTACATCCAGATTCCCGGAGTTTGCGAAATACAACCTTTTGGGACTAGGATTGCTTGTAGTGTAAGAATGAGTTCGCGGATTGCGGCAGACAAAAGAATAGGGTCAGAACAGTGTTATTGGTTTCATTTTGCCCCGTTCATTATTTGTGGTTGCATATGTGAGCCGTAATTTGCATAGCAATTTCTGCAGCCGATCTCTTACCGTTTTGAAATTTCTGATTTTACACTGGTATCCGCAACGTTTGACTAGCGTTTTGACTTCTTCATTACAGACTTAACGGTCATTTACGACAGATTTTCACCCTTTGTAAACCGTCAGAATAATTCTCGCAGCCCTCCCAACTTTCCTCATAGATTTCGCCATTGTCTGCAAAATATAGTGAGTTTGTCTGTCCTCACTCAGGAGTGGGGTGACACTTGGTTAAAATGCGAGTTTCTTGTCGACTGTTTCTGTTCGCACAAGCATAAATTCCAGCGCTGATTTTTGTGCGAGACAAATATCACCAGATTGCCAAAACTGTACGTATGTCGAATATGACGATAAAATGCCCTACCTCCAGTATATAATTAGGCTATATTGAACTACATGTATGCATTTTTAGGTACAAACATATAAAGCAGATATGATATGTTGCATTTATATGACATGGATTTAACCTCTGAAAAAAATACTGGTTCCTCATAATGAAATTCGAAAAATTCCAGTTATTTCAGTTGCAGCAAACACTAACCTATTAAAAAAAACCATCATGCTGCAAACCGAAACATTCATTTATGACAGTTACTTCACCAAATCCACATCGACTAGGAAGAAATTTAAAGCATTGCATAAACTGACAATCCCCTAAGCAAAATATCGCGCAAAGCCTACGTAAGTATAAGAGCAGAATATGAAAAATTCTGCGAGACGCCGTCCTTGTGCCAGTTAACCCACAAAATTTGGTTTTGCTCTTCAGATTGCATAAAAACTTTGGCAAAAATCCATCCAGTTACAAACCCCAAAACAGGTGTATGTTGTACACATTTTGATGATCATGATGCAGTCCGATCTCACAAACGTAAAATATCCGCGCTTCATACATCTTCGAGGCCCAAATAACACTACTCGCTAGCGAACATTTCGGGCTTCGATCATTCTTGCACACATGCATCGTTCCTCAATGTTTAAGGAGCCACATGTCTCAGCCTATTCAATGCGGTATCCCGCAATCAATAAAATACAGAAAATCTGAATATGTCTGTTGGCCTCTTGGATCGATATTTTACGATCTCTGTTGGACAAGATTGTCGCAAATCCTCAGGAAAAGCACTCAAAGTAATCAGTTACATTTTGCTTACATGCATCACAATAAGATGATTTATGACTGAAAACTGCCTTCTCACCTGTGCTTTCTTGGTCCTTTAGGACCTTGGAACCAGCATACTTCCGTCCTGTCAAAAATGACCTAACTGACGCATAATCAACCATAACCGTCACCACTGCACTAGCATAGGGTTTGCCTAGAATTCCAGAAATTCGGTTTCTGCAAGTGAAAACAGTTTCGTGCTAGGCTTTACGCTACAGTTGATGGGTGTAAATTTCGTGCCCAAGCAGTGTACAGCATGCAGCTGGCACTGGAACTGTTCGTTCTCATTTTGCGTAAAACATGTTGGCACTGACTTAGTTTTGCTTTTGCCATAGTTTATTCTTTGAAACATTTTTTCCAGGGTATGAATTGAAAACAAGCCTTTACAGCAGAATTTATTGGGGCCAATAAATTTCGTGACTGCTTTTCAACTGCAGACCGTCTCTGCATAACATAGGTAACGAATGAAAGCGCAGAGCAGTATGTATTCTTTTGTACAGAATGGCAGTGCATAAGAACAAGGTCAAGGTTCAAGGCAATGAATAATCAGATAAGACGTCCATTTCGTCTCCCTCTTTCCTATATGATGCTCATGTTGACGGCTTATCTGATTATCCATTGCCTTGAACCTTGACCTTGCTTTTATGCACTGCCATTCTGTACAAAAAAATTCATACTGCTGTGCGTTTTTATTCGTTACCTATGTTATGCAGAGACGGTCTGCAGTTGAAAAGCCGTCACGAAATTTATTGGCCCAAATAAATTCTGCTGTACATGCTTGTTTTCAATAGTTTATTCTGTCAATTTAAGTGGTCGAGTTATTGGGAACCACAAGCAATATCAGGCCTATAACGCATTATCGGTTTTTTGTCACCTCTGACAAACTTCCCTAACAACTCTGTTGGAGGCCGGCTGCCTATGCCACACAACCTGAGTCGGCGTAAGAATGCTCCAAAGGAGGAAAAAATGGTAACAGGTATTGAGCTGATATGTCAAAAATCGATACGAGCGATGAAATTGTTTAATCAGTAAGATTTTTCTAGACGTTATCAAAGTGTACGCAATGAGCAACGTTAATACATAGCATTATTTTTTGAAATAATTTTAGCCCCTGGGCAATTGGCACGGAGATGAGTACGTCAGGTACCTTTTTTCGTTATTACAGAGTCCTCTCGTCCTTTGACGACCATTCACCGTATCGTCCGAAATCGCTCAAAAGTTTCCGGGGCCTGTTGCTAGCTCTGAAGATACCTTTAAAGGATGAACAACGGGAACGTTCACGTACATTTTAAATGACAGTGATCAGTAGTGGTGAGTTTGGACGTTCGCGCAAGTTACTTGTAAACTTCGTTCAGTCGCAGTTGATTGTGATGTCGCCAGCTGTTTTACAGATACCTCACTGACATATCGTTAGTTTTTAGAAGGATTCTATTCCTGTATATGTTGAACGTCTTAGGGCTTAGGCTTATTTCGACAAAGTGGAAATTCAGTATTTGGTGGACGATTTAATGAGCAATGAAATGCTGCTATAACACATCCTGATTGATCGAGTGTTTTAAAGGTAAACTGTGCACGTTGTTACAGTTTTCGTCCAGTAGTATTTTTTGATGCGCCTGCGAAAGTGATTTGGAAACCCGATACTCTATATTTACTTAAAAGAATGTAAGTTTTCATGATTAATCGGTTTTTTTCCAAGTAGGTTCGATGAATTATTCAAATCTATCACACAGATGTGTTTATTGAAGGAGTCTGGTGGCTACAGTGTGGATTTTAAATTAATCGCTTAGGAAATCCTGCATGGACAGTTAGCCTATTGCATTAAAATACGTGAATTCCGTACGTTGCAGTAGACTGGAAGGCCAATTTGACATAAATTTGATTAAATTCACAGTTTCCGGTTGGGGCATTGTAGCACAGGTGGTTCGGGCGTTGGCTGAGTTCGAGCCATGCGCTTCCTATCGTGGGTTCGAACCTCGGCGAGGCTGTAGCGCTTTCAGTTTTGTTATCAAAAGACTAGTGACTTATTGGTATCTAAGCTTAATACCCCTCTGAAAAGTGTCTTTAACCTCTAATAGACCAGTGCGATCACTGAAAGGCACATTTAATGCGTGTGACTGGCGCACCTAATAAAGCGAGCCGCGCACGGGGCTCACTGGTTTAAAATTTGACATACATTTTGCCACGAGATACGCAATCCGATGGTATGTCATTCCAGCTTCCTGCAGGTCTCGCCTCCGTCATTGGAGAAAGCTCCAATAGCAAATCCCAGACCCGTTAAAACTAACAGCACCATATGCGTTCACAGCACTAACGTGACGCACGACTTATATGAAGCGTTTTGTTCTGCAACTCGAGTGTACACTCGCACGCGCCTGATACGAACTCTTATCGGATCTTCACCATTCAGCCGGTTGCTGTGAGGCAAGAGTATGGAGCCGAGTACGGACGCCTATTCACTCAAGGAGCATCTTGATTTTATGACGGCCATTTGGAAGAAATTCAACAGGTAACGCTGAGTCACTTTCAACTATTCTTTAGGAAATTTCTTAAAATTGAAGAGGCCAAAAGAAAGTACAGATCAAAAGCCCTGCAAGCCGAAGAAGACGGGGAAACAAGTCATGAAAGTGCGTCCACAGAATCCGAGTCGTCCGATGAGACATCAGACACTACGGACGACAGCGATAGCAGCGGTGACAGTGACAGCAGTAGTGACACTGACAGTGATAGCGGTAGTACCACTGATTCCTCTTCCGCAAGTTCTAAGAAGAATGTACGTATTGTTTTTAGCTAACTGGTCAAAAGCGCAAGGCCAAAATATAAAAACGAAATTTAACGTTTTAAAGTGACTGTGAATATTACTGTATAGAATAAAATAAATAAATATTTTTGGCCAAAAGATCCCGTTCTGTTTGATGCAATTTATTACACACCGATTCGTCCCGGTTGGCAACCAAAATGTCGTTCTCGTGTTGAAGTGAAGGAGAGGCAGTACAAGTGCCTGCACCTATCTACGTTGCCCACAAAACTCTTACTTAGAATACGTGCTGTTTCATGTCATTTTGATGAATTTCGTAAAACGGTGCAGCGTTAACCGCAGATTTAAGGATAAAAAATAACTGCTACAGAAGGTTCTACGGAAAATAAGCAACGTTCTCATCATTTTTTACGTCGAATGCTTCCGCCGATTGGTACTATTTGAGATCGAACATAATTTTATTGTCACAATTTGAAAGGCAGCAAACATCAAGAAGCGATGTCTGTCACTGAAAATGCTAGGTAACAATTTGTCATACGTGCTTTTTTTATCACGTCGATCGTTACAGCACTTTATCATATGCTTTGCAAACATGCGCGATCCAAAACCGGAGCACAACATGTTTCGAGTGTATTACATGTTTTCTAAGTGTTCAAAGGTCACTGTTCGGTAGAATTAAAGTTTGACATTAACAAACAATACTTGCCAAAATTCGGTTCATTGGCATGCTGAATTTGGTGAATCGCTATCTAAATTTCAGAGAAGACTGAGCTAGTTTGTCTAATTTGCCCGTATTTTAAGACAAACCTCTGCGCTACTGTTTCCTATTTAAAATATATACGCCAAACAGTTCAGTTATCAGCTTACATTACCCCTTATTGAATCGTATGCATGCTGGAATACGAAAGGGGTTGCAATTATAGGCGAAAGGAATGGATTTCAAAGGGTAATGCTTAATAAACAAAAAACTGCAATATTCGGCAGGATACTGACGCTTAATGAGGTTGTTTGACATAGGCAGCCGGCCTCCAGAGGTGACAAAAAACCGATAATGCGTTACAGGCCTGATATTGCTTGTGGCCCACAATAACTCGACCACTTAAATTGACAGAATAAACTATGGCAAAAGCAAAACTTAGTCAGTGCCAACATGTTTTACGCAAAATGAGAACGAACAGTTCCAGTGCCAGCTGCATGCTGTACTCTGCTTGGGCACGAAATTTACACCCATCAACTGTAGCGTAAAGCCTAGCACGAAACTGTTTTCACTTGCAGAAACCGAATTTCTGGAATTCTAGGCAAACCCTATGCTAGTGCAGTGGTGACGGTTATGGTTGATTATGCGTCAGTTAGGTCATTTTTGACAGGACGGAAGTATGCTGGTTCCAAGGTCCTAAAGGACCAAGAAAGCACAGGTGAGAAGGCAGTTTTCAGTCATAAATCATCTTATTGTGATGCATGTAAGCAAAATGTAACTGATTACTTTGAGTGCTTTTCCTGAGGATTTGCGACAATCTTGTCCAACAGAGATCGTAAAATATCGATCCAAGAGGCCAACAGACATATTCAGATTTTCTGTATTTTATTGATTGCGGGATACCGCATTGAATAGGCTGAGACATGTGGCTCCTTAAACATTGAGGAACGATGCATGTGTGCAAGAATGATCGAAGCCCGAAATGTTCGCTAGCGAGTAGTGTTATTTGGGCCTCGAAGATGTATGAAGCGCGGATATTTTACGTTTGTGAGATCGGACTGCATCATGATCATCAAAATGTGTACAACATACACCTGTTTTGGGGTTTGTAACTGGATGGATTTTTGCCAAAGTTTTTATGCAATCTGAAGAGCAAAACCAAATTTTGTGGGTTAACTGGCACAAGGACGGCGTCTCGCAGAATTTTTCATATTCTGCTCTTATACTTACGTAGGCTTTGCGCGATATTTTGCTTAG